GAGTGAGGGGTCACTGTCAGAGTGAGGGGTCATTCTCAGAGTGAGGGGTCATTCTCAGAGTGAGGGGTCACTGTCGGAGTGAGGGGTCACTGTCGGAGTGAGTGAGGGGTCACTGTCGGAATGAGGGGTTGCTGTCAGAGTGAGGAAACAGCAGGTTATTGTTATGTCAGTTCAGTCCTTTACAATGGGTCCTGATAATGGAACAAGAATGATTGATGAATCTGTTTGGTGGTCTATGTTTTGATCTCTCAGTAGCACAGTCAGTTCTGCCAGAGTTTTGAACTGTTTTGTATGTGCCTGATGTCGTTGTGGAAGTAGAGATGGAGTCGGGACTGATTGGTGAGGTTATGTAGGGGAAGGTTGGTGTTGTACAGGGAAAGCCCAGACCCTCTGGGAACACAGTGTGGTTCTCCCCAGTCTTACAGCAGGACCTGATGACTGACATTTTCATTTGGTTGCTCTGGGCAGCTGGCCAGGCCTGCAGAACTGCTGAAAGCTGGGTGAAGTCAGTGCTTAGGACTGTTTGGGATAGAGCCTGGTCATTGAGAGAAGCGGATGAGTGAGCTTTCAGAATCTAGGGTTCGTGAAAACACGGCCATTGTAGGGAACCCACGCAGGGAACTGTTAACATTAAAGCAGACTGCCAAAGACACTGCCTGGGCTTTTCAAACTCATCCTGGTAAAATCGACAGTGTTAGTAGGAACTGCAGATGCTGGAGAATCTGAGATAACAAGGTGCAGAGCTGAATGAAGACAGCAGGCCAAGCAGCATCAGATGAGCAGGAAAGCTGACGTTTCGGGGCTAGACCCTTCTTCATTTTCTGATTTTCAGTGGGACTGATTTCCAGTTTGAAGTATTTTAACCCCTGACACTATCCTAACCAGCTCATGCCCATAACAAGGGCCGGTGTTAGTTATTACAAAGCAAGTTTGCAATGTCAGATTTTTAAAAATTAGATTGTATGCAGTGGTTGGTTCAGTGTGACGATTTATTATGGAACTGTACCATGGTGCCCCCAGGTTGGAAGGCCATTTGACCAATCAGGGCTATGTCAGCTCGTTCAAAGGGTGATCCAGTTCACTTCACACTCCTGTTGTATTGCTACATTCCCGCATCCCTTTCCTCCTTTAAGGATTTATCCGATTCCCTTTTTGAAGGCTATTATAGAGTCTATATTGAATAGGCAGTACATTTCAAATCCACTCATTGCACCTGCATCTTTCTCCTTATGTTGTCCTGATTGATTTTGTTTGCTCATTAGCTTTGTGCTGTTTACCGACGTCGTGGTTTGCAAGCCCTCTGTTCAGTCACCTCTGTTGGAAGATCGACATGCCCAGCTACCCACACCCCCTCAACTCCCATACCCCCCCGTGTCCGTGTAGCATGTGCCTGACTTCCTTTGCGGCGTGCACACTAACAGTTTTCCTCTCTACATTTGCAGCATTTCGCCGAGAACCTGGACGATTTCTCCAACGAGCTGTTCAGCAGCTTTTTCGATGACCCACTACTGGTCGAGAAGAACCCTTTGCTCGACATGGATCTTGACCCAGCCACTCCAGACATCCAGGCGGAGCACAGTTACTCTCTGAGCGGAGACTCCGCCCCACAAAGCCCAGTCATGCCAATCAAGATGGACGAGTTCGGCAAAGGTAAATGAGGGTTGACTCATTGTGTGAGCAGGGGTTGAGGGCTGTTCCAGGATATGGGAGTGAGAACAGGCACACCTTGCCCCTCTTTAGATTACGCAGTGGCTGGCAGTGGGCAGTGTGCACAAATGAAGGAATAAAATCCGCTGTCTTGAGTTCGCCATCTGACACCAGGGTCCAAAGCCAAGATCTCCCTCACTCACAGCATTGTGGGTCTTTGGAATTCTTTCCCCCAGAGGGTGCTCCAGCATTGGATATATTCAAGGCCAGGATTGACCGAGGATTTTCGGTCTCCCAGGGGGTCAAAGGAGCTAGCAGGAAGGAGGGGCAAAGGTCAAGAGTGGCCATGGTCACAGTGAATGGGGGAGTGAGCTCAGTGTCAGTTTGCTCTGAGCGTTCTGATGCTCAGGGTGAGATGTAACACAAAGCCATTTGCTCCTGACAGTGCCAGCATTTTCCTCAGCACTTGCAGGAGTGGCCACCTTTTTATTTTCACTTCATTGGGGTGTCAGGTTGACAATCTGGTTCCCCACCCACCCCCGTCAAACGCTGAGGGTTCTTCACTGTGACCTCAGACCTGGGAAGTTCCTCACACCTGACACCATCGGGCTGGTGTTATGATCCCAGCTGATGTTACTACTGGATCCCAGAATGAATCTGGCTTGATAGATCTTTTTCTTTTATTTAACATGATGGTCATTCATTGAAACATAAGCACACAATGCTGCAGCTTCTCTTTAACAAGAAAACAGAGGGTTTGTTTTATATTCACTCATGGGATGTGGGCATTGCTGGCTGGACCAGCATTTATTGCCCATCCCTAGTTGCCCTTGAGAAGGTGGTAGTGAATTGCCTGTTTGAACCATTGCAGTCCATGTGCTGTAGGTTGACCCACAATGCCAATAGGGAAGGAAAGTTAATTACACACAAATGAAGAAATAAAGTAAAACAAACAAACCTATTTAAATATAGGGCACAGTTTGGAATGACATAGCAAAGCAAAGTCTTATCTATTCTCTAAGCCATTAATTTACAGCAATTCAAATCCAGAGACATAATCCTTTTGTTTCAGATCTTCATATTTGAGTCTAATGTGGGACCCCACTTCTGCCCTGTGAACTGTCAAGTCTCCTTTGGTGAATACTCATAATACTGAAAGCTCAGACATTCATAGTCTTTTAATAATCTACCAAATTCTGACCAAACTCACATGGTTTAGAAATTTCACAGATGAAATCTTGTTTCCTCCAGATAATGGTGCTTTCCCCGTACTCTCCTGTACTTCTTTCTAAGTGAGAAACTATATTTGCATCTGACCACAATCCACTTAGGTCTCCTTCACAAACACCTGAAAGCTTTCAATCTGTTTGATTGTTGTTGATTATTTTAAGTCAAAAGCAAGCTAATTCTTTTTTTTTTCTCATGTTAACTCTGTACCATAAATCCCAAACATAAACATTCCTCCATTAACACTCCAGGGGCTTTTGCCATCACCTACTTTTGGACACATACTGGATTAGGTGACAAATCCAGAAAGTCCTATCTAAAAGGCCTTCTTTTAAACCCCTTCATGAAAGTATCCAACACCCATATGCCACTAGTTTAAAATCCAAAGTCTAAAAATGATATATTGCAAATCTTTTATCGTTCTGGACAAAAATCCAGCCCCATATCTCAATTATTCTTTCAACCACTGTCCCTCTGTGCTATTGAATTATACATATGAATTTTTATACCTTTATCACAGTGAGCTTTGTAAAATACTATCTTTATCCTTAGTTTGGGAATATACTTGAAGGGGAATAAATTGCAGGGAAATAGCAGCCCAGTGGTACTAACAGAATCACACCTTCATATAGCGAGCATAGGCACAATGGCTTGAATTAACTCTGACAATAGCTTGTTTCTGATGAATATTTTTCACCCTTTCAACTTACAAACATATGAACAGTGATAGACAGGAAAATCCCCTGTCCATACAGAGCATCCCACATTGCCTTTGAATCATTGTTACACTCCCCATTCCCAACCAGAAACCATGAGATTTCCCAATAGAGATAGAAACCAGATTTAAACCCCAGACTAGTCAGACAGGAAAGATCTGGGTGGTTCCTCTCTAACCCCCACAAAGTATTCAGACTCCAGCCAGTAGAGCCCCCATCAGCTCTGAGTAACATTAGACAGTTCCTACTATCTCTGATTCAACATTAGACAGTACTTGGCTTTTGTGCCAGATGATGTCTACCCAGCTAGTTCCAGGTATAGCCCTTGCACAGGGTGAATACGGTGAATCCTGTTCAGTATTCAAGCCCACAGCTTCCAGTTTCTGATTCTCGAGGAGAAGAAACACTTGCTGATGTCTTACCTAGAAGTGACCTTGCTGTAAACTCCTACACTGCACACACTCAAAACTTACAATCGTACTATATGCATCATGGCAAGAGTTTGAGATCATGCTGAGGAAGACAATGGCATAACTTTCAGAAATTATGTGTCTGTGTGCAATCTATGCTTTGTTGTTGTCTTTGTTTTCCATCCTCTGGGTGTGTCTGTCTGTGTGTGTGTTTCTGTGTGTGAGTGTGTGTTTCTGTGTGTGAGTGTGTGTGTATCTGTATGTTTGTGCATGTGAGAGAGTGTGTGTATGCATATGTGTGTGTGTGTGTGTGTGTGAGTGAGCCTGTGTATGAGAGAGTGTGAAAGTGTGTGAGAGTGTGAGTGTGTGTGTGTACAAGAGTGTGTGTGTGTGTGTGTGTGTGTGTGTGTGAGAGAGTGTGTGTGTGTCTGTGTGTGTATGTGTGAGTGAGTGTGTGTCTGTATGTATGTGTGAGTGAGAGAGAGAGAGAGAGAGTGTGTGTGTGTGTGTATGTGTATGTGTGTCTGTGTGTGTATGTGTGAGTGAGTGTGTGTCTGTATGTATGTGTGAGAGAGAGAGTGTGTGTGTGTCTGTGTGTGTATGTGTGTGAGTGTGTGTCTGTATGTATGTGTGAGTGAGAGAGAGAGAGAGTGTGTGTGTGTATGTGTGTATGTGTATGTGTGTGTGTATGAGTGTGTGTGACATGCCTCTCTCTGTCTGTCTCACTATTATATCTGGCAGGGCCATTTGGAAGCTAACCATTTTAAACTAGTTGTCAACTTTGAAGCAGATGGAGATTATTTCTTCCATGTAAGCTTTGATTTCTGAGGAGCTGAGGTCTATACATCAAATGCATGTATCAATGGAACTGCCGTCAGTTTCTCTGCTTGAGCTGCTTCCTTGTATTGATTTATAGAACACTTTTGAAATATGCCTTTAGCACTATCTTCTTATTGTTTCTGGGTTTGGTCTCAAGCAGAAACATTCTTGAAGCAGTAGCTATGTTTTGTTAATTGACATGAAATTTTATTTGCTCCAACTGTGTGTGTGTGTATGTGTGTGTGTGTGTGTGTGTGTGTGTGTGTGTGTGTGTGTGTGTGT